CGCTACCGGCAAAAAATTCCAAATATTGAGTTCCAAAGTATCAGACTTTCCTTTGAGTCCACTGGAAGGTTTTACATGAGTTTCCAGAAGGGCAGACAGCGCCTCCAGAACAAGTTCTCTGTCCACTGTAGACATGATGCTCATTTGCCTCAACAAAATGGAAAAGTAGTTCTTTCAGCGCGTTCACACTGATGTAGAATCTTGAAGAGCTTTCGTTTTCCTATAAACAAGTACAGTCATGGCATATTGGGTGTGGTAACTCTGTGTTGTATAAGAGATACCTGCAGGGTTCAACATTATAAATTCCTTTAGTTTCACTTTTGTAATGACTTTGGTACTGATTATCTGCTAACATGCTTATCGTTTGAAAATGGATGTAAATTAAACCAAACGACATCTGTTTAGGATCCTCCTTGGAAACGCACACACAAAAGCACAAATATAGCTGTATATATGGTTTGCTGGGACTCTCCATAGATGTACAGTTTTATGCAAAAGTTTGGCCAACCCTGATAATTTTCATAATTGCAAGCCATAGCCTGCTGGCCATTCAAATCAGAAAATGTATTTATATACATGTTATACCCCAAGGAAAAAGCAACATTTCAGTTCTGATATAACAGTTATTTAAATCAACAGATGCAATACAATTTGAGTCTTAACAAAAACAGACTGGTGCAAAGATTTGAGCACCCCAACAGAATAATGACATCAATCTTTTGTACAGCCACCTTTTGCTGAAGTAACAGCCTTCTTATAGTGAAGGATGTCCCTGAATTCTTGCTGAAGGCATTTTGGGCCATTCTTCCTTGCAAAATTTCTCCAATTCATTCAGGTTTGATGGGTTCAGAGCATGAACGGCCCTTTCAAATCAACCATAAGATTTCTGATGATGTTCAAGTCTGGGGACTGGGATGGGCATTCTAGCAAATTGCAACATGTCTGACCATGAATTTCTTGGTCGGTGTGAAATTGTGCTTTGGGCAGAGATGTATAAAGTACTAGAGACCCAGACTTAAGTAAAAGTACAAGTGCTTTATCAAAAAATTGACTTGAGTAGAAGTTGAAGTGCTCTTTAAGCACCATACTTAAGTGGATGTACTGAAGTAACATTTTTTTGTGCTTAAGTATTGCAAGTAGTTTATTTTAAAACTTACTTAAATACTGAAAGTAAAAGTCCAAGTATTGTGTAATGTAATTATTAAAGAAAGCAGTCAAATGACATCATATTGTTTTGTTTATATTAAATATCTTTTTTGGGGCACGTGATTAAGCAGAACGAAAAGAAACATGGCTTACGATACTGTGCTGTGCCGCCTTCATTGTAGTAAGAGCGTTATTTACTCGCCCTCACCTACTTCGCCATAGTGTTCTACTGCAACATCTCGTATAGGAGATATATGACGTCAGTACATAATAACTGGTTATAATCTATTACTGAACAGATATCAATAATTTTGACACCCCTAGTAACGAGTAACAATGCAGCACATAAAAAAAAATCTATCAGAGTAGAAGTATTAAACTCATCGAAAATATGTACTAAAGTAAAAAAAAAAAAAACAATACTCCAGTGAAGTACAGATACTGCCTTTTAGTATCCAAGTACAGTAGTGAAGTAGTTCTACTTTGTTACTATACATCTCTGGCTTTGGGTTATTGTCTGGCTGAAACATTAAACCCTGCCATAACTTCTTGACTGCCTTGACGCCTCTTGACTGATTTCTGAACATTGTTCTTCAATGAACAATCTGCTGACACAGGTTGAAATCCATGCGACGTGTAACTCTGACAAGGTTTCCAGTACCTGTGCTTGCCACGTATCCATACAGCATGATGGACCCTGCACCATATTTTACAGTAGGAAGCATGTTCTTGTCCTGGAATGCTGTGTTCTTCCATCATGCAAAGCACCTGTGGTTGTGGCATCTGTCCATAGTATATTTTTCCAAAATGATTCAGGCTTGTCCAGTTGAGCTTTTGCATAACTCGAACAGCTCTTCTAGTTGGCAACATGCAGAAAAGGCTTTTCTGCGTCATCTTCCCTTGAGCTGCTCTTTGTAAAGAGTGCGTTGAGAACGATGTGGAACGATGTACAATGACATTATCAGCAGCAAGATGTTCCTGGAGCTCTTTCGAGGTGGTCTGTTGTTTGTCTGTGACCATTCTTCGCCATTACCTTTCAAATATTTTTCTTGGTCTAGCATTTTTCCTGCACAAGAACTGTTCCTGTGACCTTCCATTTTCTTACTATATTTCTGACTGTGGAGACTTTAAACCTTTGTGATAGCTTTTTGTATTGTTGGTGAATTATCCTAGTTTTTAGGTCATTAGGAAGTTCTTTTGAGGTTCCCATGTTGCTACTTTCAGATTCGTAATAAGGAGAAGCACAACTAGCAATCAGCTATCTTATCTAACCCGCTCTTTAAGATCTCAAAACTCAGAGTTTCTGGTAGTATCTAAAGCCGCTTTTCCACTATCGTGCTGAATCGTTCTTTAAACAGAACTGTTCCATTCCGTGCCAAACCGGGCCAGACAGCACGGATACGGTTTCATTTTCCACTGTCGTGCTGCGACAAAGCTCTTTAAAACATTACACAAAACGCATCAGTAGTTGCCTTGGTAACGCAATGTAAACGGCTCCCTTTGTTCAATTAAAGTTAAATAAGAGCCGAAACTATTTATTTATTTATTTTTCAAAAAAGCAAAAGCATGTGACTAAACACTGTTATGCCGCTCTATCAAATAGGGGTGCTAAATGTGCACCCTTATTTATTTATATGTTGCGCAGCTCTGGCTAAATTTTATTTGGAGGGAAAATTACCAAAATGTAACGTGATGATTAAAAATAATTGGAGGGGAAATAAATAATATTTAAAATCTCTGAACATAACAGAAAAATAAACAATGATAAGACAACAATAATAGTGCATTTGCATTATAGTGGCAGAAATATAATTTTGGACAGGCCTTGTCAAAGGTGAGCGGGCACTTTCACTAATAAAAACACAGCACATAAATTATTTCATTTTTAACAATTAATTAAATTACACTGCGTATTTATATCAAAAGTTGATAATGATATAAAATATACTACATTTTGATGGTAAAATGAAACCATTTAAGCGATGGCTGTTATTTGTTTTACTATTCAAACATTAAATAACGAATGCAGCAAGTGAAAAAAACGAATATGAAACAACACATATATTGCAGGATTTAAAGCATATAAAGCACTAAAATGCTGCTTTATTATCTTTTTATTTTGATCATTTTATTTTTATTTTTATAATTATTTTTGTGTTCATTATTAACTAACAAGCTGTAGGCGAAATATTGCTAGACGTTTTAGAAAATATTTGCGTAGCTATATTAAAGATCACCACAAAAAAAAAAAAAAAAAAACACAGAAACATGTTACATGCCTCATAAATGTCATATAACTTATGTATAACTGAATCATATAATTGCCTATAGCTGAAATGATGAAAATTGCTCATTTTATTTTTATAAAACATTTGTCAAAACGTATTGATATTTTTTGAGTAAAAGCAATACTGACATTTAAGAATCCATATTTATTTAATTCATTCATTCTTTTGACTTGTTTAGTCTTCTAGTGCATATGCTATAGGCTAATATAAATCATACAACAGTACCTTGGACAGTTACAGTGCCGCTCCGTAAAGCTTTCAAGCAAAGTCTTTTGGACGGCCGACATTACAACACGAACACGCCATCCTTCAGGTGGTCTCGCCGGTATTAACAAGCTGTCCTGGCTTTGAATTAAAAAGTGCAATTATTTCCTCGTTGTTTAAAGAGTCTGCAAGTTCATGTTTCATGGGTGATGTTGTTGTGGAATTTGGACATCGACGATGCAAAGCGTGACTTTATTCGCTTTATTCGATGCGCAGCAGGAAAAAAAAGTCAGCAGCGCAAGTCGCTGGCATGTCTCTCCTGGATCAGAGCGAGTTTTGTGCTGTGAAATACAGCGCTGCGTGCAATAAACTCACTTTCAGGCAGGCGAAGTAGGTCTGTATTCAAGTCAATAAAATAATAACTTTAATGAATAAAATATCTTCGTAAGAATGTGATAAGTTATTCACTTCTCTGCCAGAGACTGCTCTATGGTTTTAAAACCCTTTTCAAACTGTATCGTTTAGACCTGGATCATTATTTTATATTAAATGCACTGTAGTTTATTGAGGATGTCTGATGACTAGCGCGCTTCTGCTGAGCCAGCTGTGGTAGCTTAGCAACCGAGTCGCGACGTCACCACACAGAATCTGTCAGCACAGTTCAGCACGGTTGTCTAACCGTGCCGAGAATTCCGGGCCGAGAACGGTTTGTAATCGTGCCGCGCCGTTCCAGGCTCAGTGGAGAAACAACCGTAACCGTACTGAAGTGTTCTTAGAACGGTTTGGCACGATAGTGGAAAAGCAGCTTAAAATAACCAAGTCTTCTCAAGGAGGTCAAGCCATCTCATTTATGCTTTCTAAGTTCTGCAATAGTCTTCCTGATAATGTCTGAGGCTCAGACATACTCACTTAGTTCAAAACTAGATTAGAGACCTATCTTTTTAGTAAATCATACACGCAATGCATTACAAAACATTGATTTTAGCACCACCTGTAACACCATCATCCCCCAACACTTGGTGAATAAATTACAGCAATGGGCATCAGCACCCCAACTATACAACTGGTTATTAGATTTTCTTACAGAAAACAGACATCAAGTTTAGGCAGAGGCCATGAACACTGGGGTCCTCCAGGGATGTGTGCCGAGTCCACTGCCGTTCACACGGACGACTCATGACTTTTGTGCTAGAACTATATTATCAAGTTTGCAGATGATACAACAGTGGTAGGGCCTAATCAGCAACGATGATGAGTCTGCAGTAAGGTGATGCATCAACTAGTGTGACATCAATAAACTACAACTCAATGTCAAAACAAGAGAAAGAATTGTGAACTAACCAATACAGACTGCTTACTCTATTTAAGTTCCTGCAAAGGTAGTTTTTATTTGATTTTGTGTACACGCCTGCAATGGCTGAAAATATATTGTCAAGACTAAAAAAATATATACAGGTGTCCAAATGCGACAGCTGAAACCGATGTCTTGCATACGTCTGTGTGTATTGATTCTCGAAGCACTGACTACAGCTGCAGTCCACTCTTTGTAAATCTACATCACATTTTTGAATGGGAGTTGTTTCAGAATTCTCTCCAGGGTGCAGTTATCCCTATTGCTTTAACACTTTTTTTCTACCACATCTTTTCCTTTGCCTCTCTATAACTGTGCTTGGACACAGAGCTCTGTAAACAGCCAGCCTCTTTTGCAATGACCTTTTGGTCGTCTTTTGGACAACTGTCAAGCTGTCTTCCCCATGATTGTGTAGCCTACAGAACTAGACTGAGAAATCAATTACAGGTCTTTGCAGGTGTTTTGAGTTATTAGCTTATTAGAGTGTGGCACCAGGTGTCTTCAGTACTAAACTTTTTCACAATATTCTCATTTTCTGAAATACTGAATTTGGGGTTGTCATTAGTTGTCATCAAAATCTTAAGAAATAAACAAAAGAAATATATCAGTCTGTGTTAAATGAGTGTATACATTATACAAGTTTCACTTCTTAAATGGAATTAGTGAAATCAACTATGGCCAGTATGACCAGCACCTGTATCTAAAACAAAAACAACTAAATTGTTCCAGTTAGCACTTTGCCATTTACTTTAGCCACAAGGATACAGAAGACACTGTATTGTTGATATTGGTACCTTCCAAATGGTGGATTTCTTGTATACTTGTTTAATGAACAGAAAATCTGATTGCAAAAAAATTACTAAATTAAAATTACTACATATGTAACAATGCTTATTTAACATGTTGTCATTTTTAAAAACAGTACTACTTAACAAGGCAAACAATGGTCACACTTTATTTTGATGGTCCGTTTGTTGAATTCAAGCTACATTTCATCTACATGCCAACTAATTCTCATTAGATTTTAACAGTCATTAGACTGTTAAAGTTGGGGTTAGAGTTGACATGTACTTGCAAAGTTTCTTATAGTCAGTTAAATGCCTGTTGAAGAAGCAGTATCAACAGATATTAAGCAGACAGTCTACTAATACTCAAATGGACCATCAAAATAAAGTGTTAGCCAAACAATATTTAACAAAACATGCAACTCATTACATAAAGAGAACGGGTTCTTAAAGAACTACTGTTTTTGTACTCGGAACCATTTCAGATTAAATCAATCCCTATTTTTTTTCTCATTGAAACACAACAACAAAAGTGATCTACATCCCTGATTACCACATCTCTCATTCAGAAGAGTATTTTCATTAATCTTGTTTCTACATGTACAACAACTAAATTTTCAATAAAAGGCTGAGGGTTTTTTGGTTACAGTCCAATGCATTATTTCTGCATACACAGCTGATGGCAGTGGGAGAGGATACAGAGGTCCGACAGTTTTAAAGTTTCTATAAACTATTAGCACATTTACCATTCATCCAAACACATTTCATAAACTTAATAAGAAAAAAGTACTGAAACACTGGATAGCTTGACATGAAAACTAACCTGAATTGATTACTGGACAGTGAGAAATTAATTATTTTTGGAAAATATATGCTTTTACCGTGATTTATTGACTAAAGATAAAAAGCAAGAGTTGAAGTTAAAGAAACTTCATGAGTAATTGAAGATTTTCACAAAAACAAGCACCATAAATGTATATAAAAAAAGAGCGATATCACAATAAGCTATTTTGAGAAATACTGTGAGAAAAAGGCCAAAATGTAAATATATTTTCATTGATAATCTGAAGTAAATCTTGCTCCTATTTAAGTCCAGGGCTAAAAATCAATTGCATACAATAAATGGCAACTTTGACACATTCTAAAAACATGCCGGGTTTCATTAACCCAACATTGGGTTAAATATGGACAAATCCAACCACTTAAATTTTAACTTTTTTAAAAAATCTTTAAATGACATTACTTTAACCCAACTGTTAAGTTTGTCCATATTTGACCTAACAATGGGTTAATACAACCCAGCTTTTTTTCACCAAAACATACACAAATAAAATGGGATCAGTGTGATTTGGAATGACATAAGGGTGAGTAAACGATCAGAGTTTTATTTTTTTGAGTGAATGAACCTTTATAAATGATAAATAATTGCACATAATCTGTGTAAACCATTTCCCATACAGTATCATGATGATTTTGTAAAAATAAAAAAGCTTAGAATATAAGAGTTGCACACAACACATCACATCCATCCCTAAAAGAAAAATCTCTCTGAATTGAGGCAGAAAAATCCATTGGCAGAGGCTGAAGCTGACCTCTCAGTCTTAAAGAGATCTGCTCCAGGAGTTAATTGCATATAATTGACAAGGAAAAAGCTTCAAGATAATCTCAATGATTGGAGACATATTCCCACTTGAAGTTCAGTTTTAGATTATTGTCCCATAGAATCTGATTTGTTCAGAGGGTGGGTCTCTGGCTCTGCGTCTTCAGTTCGACCTTCTGAGACTCGGAGAGCATATTCTGTATGGCAGCAGAATAGCAGCAGGCGGCCCTAAGTGTGGGTTACCTGAACATTCCCACGTTGATCGATAAGGCCACCTCGGGTTTACGGTTTTTAGCAGAGCCCGTCTTCTTGGACCCGGTGTCTAGTGAAGATTCTCCAGTGACAGTGCTACCCCTAGTGGACATCATTATCAGTGAGTTATTGATATATATATATATATATATATATATATATATATATATATATATATATATATATATATATATACAGTCTTAATCAGTCTAATTAGCTATTTTATTAATATAATATTTTTCATTAGATTTTTTATGTTAATAGGTATTTATAGGTTTCAGAGATGATCAAAATCCCCCAAAAAAAGCTACTAAAAATCTTGTCAAAACATTTCATATGACTTCAGTGGTTTAACTATATCACCATTACAGTAAGCAGCATAAACGCAAACCGGCATCTTATGCAAAAAAACATTGCCAAACAAAATTGTTTAGAGTTCCTTATTGCACACTATTGTTCTTGGAGTGTTCTTTTTCTGAACTTTCATGTCTTTGGACCATTGTGGTTTATAAAACAGGGGTGCCCAAACTTTTTTTTTTAGAAAGGGCCAAAAACCAAACATGATTGAGGGCTGTGGGCCGAAGTTAAATATACCAAGTGTATTACATTAAATTTGACATTGATCATTTTCTACTTTATTTGCTAATATGTAAAAATAACTAGAAATGTTGCTTTAAAACATTTAAATTAATGATGCAGTATCATTTTTAACGTGTTATAACGAACTTATTATAGTAAAAACATAAACAATCCCATTTATAACACAATTGAGTTCAATGTTGAATACACTAGTCGAGCTGCTCCTGCCTTTACCTTGATTTGCTCACCGATGTCTTGTGCATTGTCCTCTATCTGACATTATTTACATTTTAAAGTCAGATTTATTTACATCATTTAAATCAAACATTTAATTTTAATTAGCTTTATTTGTAGCTCCTCAATTAAACTAAGAAACAAAAGATTATGTTCAATTCGAAATGATGATCTCGGTCAAAGTGCCCAACCTAAACCTGGTTTATACTTCTCTGTCAAATGACCAGTGTAACCCATGGCACATGCAACGCGCGTAGCATTTAAACTTCTGCGCGCTGTCTCTGTTGGTCTGCAGTAGCACTTCCGAAACGCTAGTTGGCAGTGAGGTGTTTACGTTCCTGTGTCGAGTTTTTTCGCTGGTATTTTGTTTTTTTCTGAACGCTTCCTAAATGTACAAGTGGCTCAAACTCGCTCATTTTGAGGCAGGAACCGGCGGACGTGCAACAACTTTAACTATGAGGTAAACACAAAACAAAATTTTCCATCCGGAGCTCCTTCACAGGACTCCACACTTGTAAACAATCGCTCCATCTGGCTCACGCCGCTCGCACGGCTCTCTATCCCGGCCAGACTCGTCAGCGCTACCAGGCCGACCAATCACAGAGCTTGCACTACGCGTCTTTGCGACGTGTAGTTACATTTTTTGAGAGGTGCACATCAGTGACGCCGACGGCCACGGTGTAGGGCTATGCCTCAACGCGTAGGCTGCACCTAGCATACGCGTGCGCGTGCGTGCGCGCGTGCTTGACGCAGAAGTATAAATCAGCCATTCATTATTCTTCCTCTCTTTTCAGATGGGTTGGATGGGTTGTACTTTGGGCACCTCTGCTATAGAGGGTCAGAAAGCTCTCGGATTTCATCAGAAAAATATCTTACTTTGTACTACGAAAATGAACGGTTTGAAGGTCTCAAAACATTGAAACTGCATGAGGGTGAGTAAATAATAACAGAAGTTTTATTTTTATGTGAACAAACCCTTTAACAGAAATGAATTTAATTTAATTTTTGGATCAATTTGTTTCATCCCTGATAATAAATGTTTGAATGCCTTTATTTTAAAAAAATATCCTGATCCCAAACTTTTGAAAGGGAATGTGCATTGAAACAAAACAGCACATTTCAATCTTTTTTTTTTACATACAAATGTGATCAGCATAAGCTTATGACACTAATAAATAAGCTAGGAATGAAGCAAAATGAAAGAATCACCTCGTGTTTTGATTCGCTACCTCCTCCCTGAGTCTCAGCTGGCCAATCTCATCCTCCAGAGTGGTAAATTCTTTATTATTGTCTATTAGCAGATTCTAAAACACAATGCAGATTCACAGAAAAAATAATTAAAAATGACAATTATTTCTGAAGCCAAAGAATTCTCTCCAAAAAATGACTATCTTCAACAAGTATGGAAGACTTTTTTCGTAAGATGTGATAACCCCAGAATGGATAAATAAAATAATAAAATGGTCTTTTATTATGTGCATCTGCATCTCTGACTTATACAGAACTGTTTAATTAATCTAGATTATTTAAGGCACGTATAAGCAACTGTTAAATTACCAAAAAAAAAAAAAAAAAAAAAAAAAAAACAGTAATCCCAAGTCATTTCTGTTAACTCATTACACCCATGACTAATTAATGGCAAATGGGAAGTAGTTTAAGTTTAAACGGAATCTAATTTGCCCCTTTTTACAAATTGTAAAATAAGTCTTGGATGTCTGTAGAGTGTGTATGTAAAGTTTCAGCTTAAAATACAGCACAAATAATGTTTTATAACTCCCCTTTTAGGCTTTGGTCCAAATTGTGCTGTTTTGGTGACTGTCGCTTTAAATTCAAATGAGATCGTGCTCCAAGCCCACTTTTCAAAAGAGGGTGGAGCTATAAATGTGTCAGTATAGCAGCAGATTCAAAACTCTAATGGGGCGTTCACAACAGACGCATTTTGCGCGAATAAATCACACTATTCGTGTGTAAATAGATGCGTGAACATTTCGAGTTTACTTACTTCATTTGTGGGTCAAATTCGCTTCACAATAGACACAGATCTGTCTGCCTGATGACTATAGTTTCATTGCTAAATAACTAACTTGGATTTTATTAAGAGTGTAGCTGTGCTCTATGTGCTTTAGGAAGGCTGAAAAACAGCGTAGACTTGTTCGGGGCCATGTCTGAGTCCACTAGATCCTTTCAGAGGTGCACCCAGCTAGCTTTGTGTTCATCAACTCCTCCAGAAACTATATGTGGATGATGGAAGCTTTTTGTGGTACTTCTGACTAAGCTGAGCTCAGTATGGTGAGCTATTGATCGGTGTCAGCAGAGGATTTCCCCTTGGGACACCAACAACAGGTGCTACATGGAACTCCCTGCCACGTTCACTCTGTTCTGTTAATAATATCTCAGAATTAAAATCTTTACTTAATACTCATTTGTTTTCTGAATGCTTCACTTCTGATCTGACAACTTTGTTTACTCCACCTGTACTCTGCTTATTTGTCTCTTAGGTCTTGTTTTGTATTTACAGTTTGTTATATTTGACTTCTTGTATGTTTGTGTACCTAATGTTTTCTCTACTTGTTTACTGTTTATTTCAATGCTGCTTGTACGATATCTTTTTGTTACATTTTTTGTAAAGTGTCCTTGAGCTCTGGTAAGGCGCTATATAAATACAATTTATCATTTATTATTATTATTACATCATAATCACACCCATCCTCGAGCAAGCTCCTGATTGGTTAACGTGGTAAAAGTTCAGATTTTAACTAAGCAATTCTCGCGTTAAGCGTGTTAAACGCTCAATTCAAGCCACCTCAATCGTGCGAATAGCACCACAGGGTGTCTACTTGTGTCTTTGCATTGACTTAACATGTAAATCACTGACGCTTGATGCTTCATCCTCAACTAATGTAAATGTTCCATAATGGCAAACGGCTGCTTCTCACTGAGGGCTGTCTATGCTAATGCGGGACAGATTGTCACTAATAGGCGGGGCTTTCCCTTTCTGATAACGTGCACAATGGGAGAATGCCAATAAAATTGCTTTTAACAAAGTGTGATTCAAAAAAACAGAATGAATTAATTTGTATTCTTAGAGAGTTGCTATATTCACACACTATTGTTTAAACCCCTTATAAAAGTGATTTTTGCACTTCCTTTAAGCTAGGCTCTAGTTTCTGGAGTAGCTTCTCCAATACTTAATACAAAAAATAAAAGCACCTTGACTCCAATAATATCTCCATCCTTCAGGTAGAAAGGAGCTGCCTGGAGACTCTCAGCTTTTCTCTTCTTCTTCCTTTTTGAGACCTGTTGAGTCTATAATTCATTCAGAAGTTATTATACAAGTATACATCACTCTAAGGCGAAAATACACTCAATTGATACATTCGCTCTCTCTTCTTACCCAGTTGGAGATGGGCATCCAGCTGTGTTTGTCAGGCAGGTGTTTAGCCAGCAGCAGGTTGTCAGGAGCAAGGCCGTAGTGGGCGGCCAGAGCAGCGTACAGGCCCTTAGGTGAACCGTCCCGCCCCGCGTCCCACAAAAACTCCTCAGAAGGATAATACGCCTTCTCTCCAGGCACCCCCATCTGAACCCTCAGCAATAAATCCTTCAGCCTGAAAAAGAATGATCGGTTTAAAACATTCATTCATTCGTGAATTTGATGAATCGTCTCATTATCTGAAGGTCTCACCCCAGGTCCTCTTCCTTCATCAGCCTCTGAATACACACTTCTGCCCCGTTCCCTAGCTTCAGCTTCCTGCAGGCAAAACACATTCATATAAATAGGTTTATTACCTTGAGGCGAATTCCTGATTCTACCCCTTCCACTTACCCCTAACCCCTCTGTTCATGTGAAGGGTGTCCCAATTCTCTTTTGTTAGGAGGCATAGGGGTAAGAGGAAAGGCTATATAACCCTTCAAACTGAGATTTTTTAGATTAGATTCGATTCAACCTTATTGCCATTACACATGTACAAGTACAAGGAAACGGAATGCAGTTTAGGTCTAAAGGCTGATTTATACTTCTGCATCGAGTGATCGGTATGACCCACAGCGCCTGCCTTGCGTGTAGTCGTGCATTTATACTTCTGCGTGCCGTTTGTGTTGCTCTGCAATAGCACATCTAAAACGCTAGCTGGCAGTAGGTTTTTATGTTCCTCTGTGTCGAGTTTCATTGCATGTTTTTTGTTTTTTTCTGAACGCTACATATAGCTAAAACTCGTTTGTTCAGGGGCTGGAAACTGTGGACGTGCAACAGCTTTAATCATAAAGGTAAACACAAAACAAATGTTTCCATCTGGAGCTCCTTCATGGAACTCGACACTTGTAAACACTCGCTCCATCGGGCTCGCGGCTCTCAGGACCGGCCACGCTCATTACCGGTACCAAGCCGACCAATCACAGAGTTTGTGCTACGCATCGTTGCGACGAGTAGTTAAATTTTTTAAAAGGTGCGCATCAGCGTCAGCCACGGCAAGGGCTATTGCGCGACTACTAAAACTATAAGTAATATTAACAGATGTACTTTAAGCATAATATACAAGTCGTATTAACTTGAATCAGATATTTAAAAATAGATAAACATGCTGCACAGGTTGCTATGCTTAATCAGGGATATGCAAATGGACATAATATACAGGTTGTCATTTGCTTTAAACATGAATTTCAGTATCACACAAAAAAATAAAGAGGTATTGACATTATTCTGTGAAGCGGAAGTGCACTCGTTTTTCGATTGTTCGATTTAGTCGCCTATGGGAGAAATGACTAAGAATAATAAACCGCAGAAAGCAGTCAAACTACTTGCTCTACAAACAAGTGGGTTCCTGAAAGCATAATAAGTATAATAATATAATATGAAAATACCAGTTTGCAACAGTTTCCATTTAAATGAATTGAAAATGCTCCGCTGAACTCGCAACATGAGTTTTTAAGGAAAGTATTTCTATCCCTAACCCTTCAAACTCTGTTTCAAGGGTCAAGGGAAGGCATACGTGGATTGGAAGGGGTATAAAATAGAATTGGAATTGAGCCCAAGTCTTTCATTTCTCCTGTAGGTTTTCACTGCCAATCATGTGGACAGTGAAATAACATGTTTTGTTGTTACAGTAATGAAAACACTGCATATTTTTTATACAGTAGATTTCAGTAAAAAAAAAATGAAGTGATTTCAGAAAACTCAATTATAGTTGAGAAGTGACAATTTTATTTATAGCTTTATAGTAAAAAAGGTGAATTCAGGATATATCTGAAAGTGAAGGGTGAGTAAAAGGTGATGTAAATTTGTTAATGGCTATGTTCGTAGATAAAACAATTCAATTTGATCATGCATATGACAATTTCAATAAAATATTTTCAGCAATTTACCAATCTTGGTTTAAAATACTAAACATATCAAATTAACACATACTATGCATATCATAAATAGTTAATAAAATAAAAAAACATGAAGAATGTGAAACTTTAGCAAGGATTTAATATATCCTGTGTTTACACCTTAAGGTTAAATTAAAGGGTAAAGGTAATGTTAACCTTTTATCCCAGAAACTGTACCGTTTAATGAAACAACAGACTCATGCAAAACAGAAGAAAATGTAAAGGTATAAACCTGAGTGTCATCTGGTTTCCTCTGAGTATCCTGGCCAGTTTCTTGCCCTCCAGCAGCCACACACGCATAAACGCGGGACTGGGCACACACACATCCTGAAGAGCTGGCAGAGTCATCACCTACCAGAAACACATCCATGTTCTCTTAGGATTGTGGGATTTGCTGTGTTTAAACTGTTATGTCATATGTTATTCTGATTTGATATGCTGCATTTTAATTGCAGTCTTTATATTTCATTACAGATCATTTGTCTTCTGCTATTAAAAGTCTCAAACTGATGTCAAAAATGTCACAAAAAAAAACAGTAATGTAATTTAAAACCACACACACGCATGCACAGAGAAATAGAGACATTCATCTAGTCCTTGTCACATAATCCTTCAGAAATCATATATAATATCATATATTTTGGTATATATTGCATCACCAAAAATGCTATGTCCATGTGTTGTGCGAAACGCTGTTATAGTGATTATTGTGACAGGGATACACAACCCTATTAATAATGCTGTGATTAGCAATGCCAACCTGAGTTTTAAAGTCATCAAGTGAAGCCTCCTCTGATATCTCCACATAACCCATGAATCTCATCTCTGATCCGGAGCACTCTGAAAACGCAGAACACAAACATAAAAAAGCACAAACTCTCTCAAATGCCCAAAATCTTTCAGCCCACTGACAGAAACAACAATAATCTCAGTTGATGTACAGAAAAATGAGCAAAAAGTCAAACCTGTGGCGAGTCCCTCAGCGTTTTGAGGCTTAGAGTGATTCAGCTCTGGACAGCTGTCGATCATGTCCATGTACATCCTCACAGACAGCTTGAGGAAACCCTGAAGTTTAGATAATAGAGAAAGGGCTTTGAAAAGTTTCTTTTCATCTTAAATGAAAACTTTCTGAACTGCAAATGCACCTTCGGAGGCAGACGGCCCTCAATCAGCACCAGTGTGTCCCCATAAATGACTTTTGCCTCCTTTAGAGATGCATTCTAGGGGAAAATAAGTAGACAAGAGTCATTTTTGTAAATCTTTCGGAAATTAATAAAAGATAGAAGATAAGTGTTGAGAATTTTTTTTGTGTGTGTGATTGTATTGTGCATAGAGTAAAATAGCATTAAAAAGCATCCATTTGTTCATTTTGTTAAATATTTTTGCAATTGCTATTTATTTCAACATATTTATACACAGCAATTTACTCCTGTGATTTTTCAGGATCAAATAATCCTTCAGACATCATTTTAATAATCTGATTTGATGCTCAAACAAGATTTTTATTATTATAAATGTTAGGGTAAATAGGACCTTTATTAAACACACACACAAATACACAAAATTAATAAACAGCGATCCATTACATTAAAGTGACAGTATTGCGAGATTTATAATGTTGCAAAATATTATTATTTTAAAAGATTACTACTTTGAAATTTTTATTCATCCAAAAAATAAAATAAAATCCACAAAGATTTTAAGCTATAAAAACTGCTTCCAACATTAAGGATACTAAAAACGATCAACAATGCAGCACAAATTAGAGTTAATTGATACTAAAATATATAATTTCTGAAGGATCATGTGACACTGAAGACTGAACTAATGGCTGCAGAAAATTCTGCTTTGCCATGACAATAAAAAACTACATTTACATTTGAATATACAGATATATACATAGAAACAGAGTGTTAATAGTAATAATACTTCACAATAGGGCTGCACAATAATTCATTTCAGCATTGATATCGCAATGTGTATATCCACACAAATCAAATCGCAGGATCTGCAATGTCAAGTTATAATATCAAGCCACCACAGCAAAGAACATGCGATTGTTAGATGATCACAAAAGTTTAACCCTAATAGAGTGAAAGACTTTCATTTGGATGTGTTTTATAAATGCGGTGCAAGGTTTCATGTGAATTTAAACTAAGTTATTAAGTTCAAAGTGTTAACAAAGACTAATTGTATTTATTTAAACAATAAAACTCTACAGTGCTATTTTATTTATTTTCAATGTTATTAAAAATTTCATTTATATCTTTATTCAATTGTTTTCAGCGGTACTTGTAATTTGTTTACTGTATTTCTTTGCAGAAGTTATTTTACAAAATAATCCTGAAATCAATAAATCTTTCCAAATAGAGTTAATACATCATCTTTTGATATTGTATTCATAATGCAAACAAACAAAATATCACAATGTTATTTTTTTTTCCAATATCGTGAAGCCCAATTTCACAATATTACACTTTCTCAGGTGTAGTGAGAAGAGACTTCAAAAGACACTGACTTAATTATTACAAACTACTGATGTCCAGTGTATAACAGTAAACTCATCCTGTACACTATTTACTATTGTATTATATTACAATCTCTCACCTCATCCATAAGTGGTTCTCCAATCTCCTCACACCAGTCTACTCTCCTCAAGTGCCACGATTCACCTTTAGAAAGAAACACATTTTATGAATAAATCTGAGACTGCAAAGTTAAATGTGCCATTAAAATCAAGCATTTTATAATATTACCTTCCAGTCTAGTCATCTCCAACATCTTCTTAAGGCACTGGAACAACAGAACTCACAACTTTTAACATCTTACTTTAATATTAGCTGTACAATTTCTCCTAAATGACCAGAGAGCTTACCTCTTTGACGGTTAGAGACTCCTCTACAATGATCTCCAGCTCCTGGCCTACAGAGGGCACTAGACCAACACTGAAGTACAAGAACAACTGCATGGAGAAAAGTCAGAAGGCACATTAAAGGGATTATCTACTGAATTTACTACTTGTTCCACAGCTGTTTGACTTTGCATCTGTTCTGCTGCAGCTACACAAAGGAAGATATGCTGAAGGATGTTGGAAAACAACAGCCATTGACTTCCATAGTATTTTTTGATCCAACTACAGATGTCAGTTTCTTCTTTTTTCCAACATTCTTCAGCATATCTTGTTTTGTGTTCAACACAAGAAAGTCATACAAGTTTAAAACGATTTGAGTGTAGGTAAATGGTGAGGAAATGTTCCTTTTTGCATGAACTCTCCCCTTAAAATGTGTAAGTAAGCTTAAAGAGATGTCAACTTTAATAATATAGCACTATTAAATACAATCAAGAATTTACCAATGTGCAGAACAATTAAAAAATAAATAAATAAATAAAATCACAAAGACAATACAAAACAAGTCTATACAATTATACATTCTCCAAAAAAAAAAAAAAAAATATGACAGATCTGCACGATTTACATAAATGACCTATTTTAAGGTGTACATGGCAACTTTCTCCAAAAGTTTGCACCCCTGATTAAAAAAAATTAAATAAATAGCCAAATACAGGGTTTCCAAACTTCTTGAAAGTACTTGCATTTCAGACATATGGATTCAAGTACTTCAAAATAAACACAGGTCCTTGAAATTTATGGTTTTATTTCAACAGTTGAATTTAGTTGTCAAAAACAGAATGACAAAACTGAGATAAAAGTTTAAAATCTTTTATTTAAATCTTGTACAATAACACTGGCAAATAATGCACATTTACCTATATTTCTGAAAGCGCATTTGAATATCAACAGAGTTGAATTTAGCAAATTTGATTAAAGTTCTTTAAACATGACTTAAATGGAAATTTGAACATGCCATAAAACAAAAAATGTTTAATGTAAATTTTTAAGTGTAAGTGAAATGTTATGTACATCAAGGACTTTCATGGAGCTAGATATGCTGTAGTATGAATTGCAGAGATGCTTGATTTAAAATGAATGGTGCTTTAAAAAGTCCTTGAATCTGCTGTTCGTGAAAGCGTGGGAACTCTGAAAATGTGTTTTACTTTCGCTAAAAGTCAAATCTGAAAAAAAAAAACAGGATTTGACCACTGAATAGATCTTATTAGCAAATATCAGACTGTCAAAGATGATTTTTCACCCAAGACTTTAGAGAAGAGGTTAATTTACCAAGATTTACTAGAGGTGTACTATCCTATGGACCAAACACAGTTATTTATTAATTATTAATAGACCATTACAAGTATTTACGGTCTTTAAAATCTGGAAAATTGAAAGACAACCAGGCTTAATTTCATAAAGAGTTAATTTTATTAAAAAAGCGTTCTGTGGTCATTAAAAGCCAGCAGAATGTGATTTACTGTAAGAGGGATTGTGGAGAACAAACACTGAGTGGGGTTTTCATTTTAACAGCAGAGAAATTTGAGTGTCAAAATTCTGAATGCATGTTCACACCTGTGTTGCTGTTGGCACTGGTCCAGGGCACAGGTAGAGTGAGGTCATCAACCTGATCCCAGCATCCCGAACACTCAGATGCTCATGCACTAAAACACACACAAACTAGTTAATCACTTACAACTTACACATTAGCAGTGATGCTTATGATTGTTTATTGAAAAGTACCTGGAGGTAAAAGTTTTCCAGTTCGATCCATTTGCCTCAGACAGCACTCGACCCCTAACAAGACAATTAAAGACAGGATAAGCAATCAGCTGATATACGCTTTTCATTTTTATTTTTATTACTTAAAATTTTAATTCTATCATCCTTTCCCCTCCCTCCACTTGCTACATACCTGTTCACATTTTTTCTTCTTCTGCAGAACATAAAAGAAGATCATTTGAGGAATGTTGAAAACTGGTAGCCGTTGAATTCCATAGAATTAGTTTTCTTTCTATGGATGTCAATTGTTATCAGCTTCCAACATTATTCAAAATATCTTCTTCTGAGTTCAACAACAAAAAAGATAAACTAATAAAGGTTTGGAACCAATTTAGAGTAAGTAAATGGTGAGTCTGTTTACAGTTTTGTTTTTTTTCTCTTTGGCATATTATTGCTAGAAGCTTTTTGACAACACTTCCATCATAAGACAAATTTGGAAAACGGTGCATAAAAATATATGATATAGTTTAGTTTTATATTATTGCTAACAATGGCAAATACTGTATTTTTCAAATATTAAAAAAATGCATTTATATTGTTTATTTATATTTTAAATTTACTTTTTATTTATTTGTTATTTTCCTTCGATAAATTAAACACCACATCATATCTGTATCAGCTAAATATTAGCCATCGGCCACAGTGCTCTTCATGTTATTTAGGAATGAGAAAAATAATAATATTATATGTCATAGATACTGGAGTACCTTCCTCGTTAATAGGCATTATTGAATATGAATAGATATTGTTGGGAAATATTATTAAGTTTGATTACCACCAAGTTCATCCTGAAGGCAAAGTTCCTCAATAGCTTTTTGCTTTACCACTGCCAGCAGCTTAAAAAAAAAAAAGAGAGACACAAACGCACAAACACACACACACAGCAAAATCAGTACAAATGTACAACATCTGTGTAACACAGAATGATTTTGATATCTAAAAATTAAAATAAAGATGGAATAAAAAGAATTGGGTACACTAAATTGTACATACAGTTGAAGTCAGAATTATTAACCCCCCTGAATTATTAGACCGCTTGTTTATTTTTTTCCCCCAATTTCTGTTTAATGGAGAGAAGATTTCTTTTAACACATTTCTAAACATAATAGTTTTAATAACTCATCTTTAATAACCGATTCATTTTTGTCTTTTTCATGATGACAGTAAATAATATTTAACTAGATATTTTTCAAGACACTTCTAAACAGTGACATTTAAATGCTTAACTAGGTTAATTAGGTTAACTAGGCAGGTTAGGGTAATTAGGCAAGTTATTGTATAACGATGATTTGTTCTGTAGACTATCAAGAAAAAATACAGCTTAAAGGGGCTAATAATTTTGTCCCTAAAATGGTGTTTTAAAAAATTAAAACCTGCTTTTATTCTAACCGAAATAAAACAAATGAGACTTTCTCCAAAAGAAAAAATATTATTAGGCATACTGTGAAAATTTCCTTGCTCTGTTAAACATCATTTCGCAAATATTTAAAAAAAAGAATAAAAAAATTTAAAAGGGGGCTAATATTTCTGACTTTAACTGTAGTGTATGAGTGTGAATGGATGTTTCCCAGAGATGGGTTGCAGCTGGAAGGGCATCTGCTGCGTAAAACATATGTTCAATTCGCTGTGGCGACCCCAGTTTAACAAAGGGACTAGGCCGACAAGAAAATTAATGAATAAACGAATGAATGGAATAAAAAATAGAGGTAATAAACTGAAGAAAACTAATGTACTAAAATGACAATAAAACAAAAGCAAAATAATAACAAAAATGAAACAAGATTATTAAAATAAAGTAAAATTTTTATTGAAAATAATAATAAAAAATAGTTTGAAATACTAAATTAGTCCATCAGTGATACTAATATACTCTTTATACACTTGTTTTCAATCCCACCATGTTCCCTGAAGCTGAGACTTTACTCCTCTTCTTCCCCTGCTCCTCTTCCTCCTCCTCCTGTTCCTCCTTCAATCCACTCTGTGGGCAAAACTCCACTTGCAACCAGCGGCAGTCTGAAGGTGTCGTCACTGTAACTACATCCCCACTGAGGCTGAAGATACTGTGAAAAAAAAAACATGACATTTTAATTCTGCCTTTTTTTCTTCAGTGTTACGTTGTATTTTATACTCAAATGGAAAACAGAATAGAGGGCAGGGTTAGTGCTCCTCCTCCTAAATTTTCTCACAGTAAACTAAGGTGCCGTTTACACTAGTTTGCTTTGTTTTTAAAATGGCATATTAAAATAAAAACCCTCCTTTGTCCAGACTAGTGTTTTAATTGTATTTGAGATCTCTCCGTCCACCCTATACAGCCTAAAAAGCATGATACAAGCATTCATGTTCATTGGGCATGTGCAAATTCCCTAGTTTAGTATAACAAAGTGAGTAACTGATGACAGAATTTTTGATAAATCAAGCATTACTTACTCCCTTAGCCGTTAATATCGAAGTTGATATTTAGCCGCACCATGTTGGCGTTTCGTAACATCTAATTTTTACGAGGTGGGTCATTAGCCCAATGCTCAACCCCTAACCTGGAGGACAAGGACATACCCAGATACACTACAGACAATTTTAGCTTACCCAATTCACCTATAGCGCATGTCTTTGGACTGGGGAAAACCGGAGAAAACTCATGCGAACACGGGGAGAACATGCAACTTTCACACAGAAATGCCTACTGACCTAGCAAGGGCTCGAACCAGCAATCTTCTTGCTATGAGGCGAGAGTGCTACCCACTGTACCACCAAGAATTACTTAAATAGCTAAAAGTAAAGCAATTAATGTTTTGTTTAAGTCATCAAATATTCTCTCACCTGCTGTCCAGCTCCTCTGGCTGTAACAGCAGTAGAGCGTCTCCGTCCTTCAGAAACAGCTCTCTCAGCGTCCTCTGCATGTCCTGAGGTGGGAAAACCCTCCATCCGCTAGCTCCGCCTCCACTGGCCCCTGGACGGCTCTGCTCCTGACACAGAAGGGCATCCTGGGGCCCTAAAGCCTCGAGCACTGTGCCTAAAGTAGCTCCACCAGCAAAACCCTTCATGAAACGCACCAGTCCAGATCCATCAGTGTCTGAAACCTCACTACAGCCCAGCTCCTCTACAGACGGTCGAAGCACAGTCAGCAGAACAGGCTCCCACTCCACACCGGTTTGCACCACCACACCACTGACCTGAAAGAAAGAGAGAGAGAAAGAAAGAAAGAAAGAGAAGAGAGAGAGAGAGAGAGAGAGAGAGAGAGAGAGAGAGAGAGAGAGAGAGAGAGAGAGAGAGAGAGAGAGAGAGTATCATCATTTTGGCACTTTAGTTTCTTTTTTCTTTTTTTTTAACCAATGGAGTGCCAATTTCAAGGCTGGTTATTGTCCTGACTCAGAACATGAAATACAAATACAAAACTAAGTTTACTTTATTAAAACTTGGGACTTTAAATCAACAGTTAGACTTTAATGGTGTAAATACATAAATTAACACATGACTTGTGTGGTTCTTGTAACTTGAAATTTTTTAAAGTAGGCCTTCCTACTATTTTTGAGCAGATTTTATTCTGGTTCATCAAGTTTGATTTTAATCTAACAGACAGACTCGTGTACCATACAGAATTTCAATACCGTAGGACAGGGATTCCCAAACTTTTTTATTCCGGGACCCACCTAGGCAAGTAATTCAATCTGAAGACTAACCATAATATTTTAATATGGAAAAATGGGTAAAAAAAATGTATCCACTCAAAGCAGTCAAAAATATATGGTGTGTGGTTTTTTTGGATTTTGCGATTTGATATGCACAAAATGAGGCTCGAAGTGCTTTTTGTGGGATGCTGGCTGTAACTGTGATCATTTTTTTTTGTTGAAAAAGATACTCTTCTTTTTTTTTGGAAGAGAATATCATCAACCTTTGATCAAGCCCCTTGATTATGATCAAGCCCCGTGATTATGATCAAGCCCCGTCACATTGCAGTAAATTCCACTGCTAGTGTATATTGTCAAAAGAAACTAAATAGCTTTTTGTTCAACTACTACAAGCTGGAAAAATATAAAATATTATCTACTGTCATCATGGCAAAGATAAAATAAATCAGTGATTAGAAATAAGTTTTTAAAACTATTATGCTTAGAAATGTGCTGAAACAATCTTCCCTCCATTAAACAGAAATTGGGGAAAAATAAACAGGGGCGCTAATAATTCAGGGGGGCTAATGATTCTGACTTCAACTGTATTTAGTTTTATGTGCCTTTCCAGAGACTATACGACTAATTGGTCACCAATATTAGTACTTATAGATAATATGATGTTTCCCTTTTTTTCCCTTCTGTTGGCTTATTTTTAAGGATAACTATAATTTCTACAACCCATTGCACATTTTTTTGTAAAACTTGCCTTTGACTATGTCTTTAAACACATTGTATAATCAATTTGATAACCTTAAATAAACATGTTCCAAAAAAAATCGTTTAAAAAATCCATATGACCCACCTCTCTTCCATTCCACACAAAGAGATCAGAACCGTTACGCACTCCTGCGCTATACAAAGACATCTGGTCATCTGAAACAATACAAAACACATCAATTATAATTCGGAATCTTTAATCAGGTCAACTACTCTTTACAGTAAACTAGAAAGCAAAGATTCAGTAAACCATTACTTTTGTGTTTTCCATTCATAAAAATGTCAATTTTCAGACAGGCCTTTTTAAAATGAAAGTTTGAAATGGCTTGAAACGGTTTAATTTATTTGTATTGTATATACCTAAATTGTTATAGCTTTTATTTGTTTTATATTGGTTTATTTATTTAATGTGATTATATGATATCCGATATTTGTAATTTTTTAAAATTATTTCAATAAAGCTTAGGCTATTTTATCTAGATTTGCCTACATTGTTTGTCTTTCTGTTGTATTTATATTTTGTATTATCTCCAAAATAAAGAAAGAAAAAAACCCAGACACTTGAGGCATCAACAGAGCTGTCAAACGAGCACTCTTTCGAATGGTCTCTCTCTCTCTCTCTCTCTCTCTCTCTCTCTCTCTCTCTCTCTCTCTCACACACACACACACACACACACACACACACACACACACACACACACACACACACACACACACACACACACACACACACACACACACACACACACACACTTAAATGCGCATGTTTCATGCACAAACACACAGTTTAAACTTGACAATAACTCCCGACAACTGTTACTGGCTGCTGTGTCTTTAATATGGTGTAAAGACTATTATGCGATATTGAAACATCGAGGATGCATCAAAGAAATATTGCTTATAAAATTAAAACTACTTTATTATTTTATGCAGCACCCTTACATTTAAAAAGGAAACATAAGGGCGATCATAAGCAAAAAGACCCCTATCCTAAAAGGTGTTTTATGGAATGGCCTATTTTAAACTGACCAGCTATATGTCTTTCTTTCCCTTATTTATTTATTTATTGGCGCATGTACTCCTGTGCGATCGGAAAACTAGTGTAATGGCGGCATGCCATCTTTATCAGACTTGTTCAAACTCCGCCTTTCTTTCCACTCTGCCCTGACTGGCCCTCTTTGACCCAAGGTATTTGGCAGGACGAAAAAGGCCGGCCGCTGGTCCTGACAATTCAGAGCAGACAATTCGCACTTGGGCAGTGTTTATTTAAGAGCACTCAAAAAGTTTTGCACATGAGCAGCGGAAACTTTAGAGCGTGCGCGAGAAGGTTTGTGGACAAATAGAGAAAATCAGCATGCCAGCAAAGAGATTTGTCATTGAAATAATGCCGTACATTCTCTCCTGCATAAAAATGTTATTGTCACTCCTGAAACATTACAGTGTGCTTTACAAAATACGCTACTGCCAATGTGCGCATAGGTGAGGTGTGTTCACCTGTCAGAGTATCATACAAATGTAACCCAGCCGGCACATTCTTAGCCAAAGTCAACGCCATGTCTCCTTCCCAAAGATCCTGCATCTACAAACCAAAGCAAAAAAGTCAAGGAAATCTCACTATATTCAGTCAGATCATATTTAAATGATGAATTCATTTACATTAAGGATTTGGCTCAGTCAAACACAGTTGAAGTCAGAATTATTAGCCAGCAGAATTATTAGCCCCACTCTGTATTTTTTTTTCCCCAATTTCTTTTTAACGGAAAGAATTTTTCAACAAATTTCTGAACGTAATAGTTTTAATAACTATCTCTAATAACTGATATCCATGATGACTGCACATAATATTTTACTAGATATTTTTCAAGATACTAGTATTTAGCTTAAAGTGACATTTAAAGACTTAATTAGGTTAATTAGGCAAGTTATGACAATAAGACAAATCATTGTATAATGGTGATTGTTCTGTAGACTATCGAAAAAAATGCTTAAGGGGGCTAAAATTTTTACCTTAAAATGTTTTTAAAAAAAATAAAAACTGCTTTTATTCTAGCCGAAATAAAACAAATAAGACTTTCTCCAGAAGAAAAAAAATTATAGGAAATACTGTGAAAAATTCCTTGCTTTATTAAACATCATTTGGGAAATATTTGAAAAAGCAAACAAATCCCTCAGGAGGGTGAATCATTTTGACTTCTACTGTATAATCAACTATCATTACAAATGACCAACTTGTGAAAGCAGATGAGAGCTAAAACCGATGAGTGATGTCACCTGATAGATGGCCAGTCGCAGGTCTCCCACAGTCTTTCTGCGGTCAAAGGTGACTGTGATAATGGAGTCTTCACCTGGAGCTGAAGGATGCAGGGCACCGTTTTGCCAGTGGTAATGAGGCGCCAAATGCAGCCGCACTTCAATGCTGTTGCTGCTGGCATCAAACTCAGCCCTAAAAGAGAAAAATTATTTTCACGTTTATTAAAACACCCAAAATGCTAATAATGTGATTGCATAAGTGCATATGAAGCCACCTTTTGTGCTGAAGGCCTGCATTCTCCTCTTCCACCATCTCCAAAAGATGGGGCGGCACTTTGTATGCAGGGTTTCCAATAGCTGATAAACAAACAAACAAACAAACAAAAAAAAAAACCAAACAAACAAACAAAAAAAAAAGGTATTTTGAAAAATCCCCATTTAGGATTCATCAGTAAAACAAATGCATTTGCACAACACAAAACAGAGAGGGATTTAAATCTTATTTCCTAAACTCTAAAAGTAAGTAAAGTAATTACCATCGTTCACTCTGTATTTTAGATAAAGAGTAAAAACCCTGAAAACGGTTGTTAAGCTGACTAATAATAACTAATAATAATAACTGGAATGCAGCAGAATCACTAGTTAGACTGGTCATGCGAAAAATTGTCCGATGTTGTCCCTGGTATCTACAGTTCTTTATTTGCGAATATACGAGTTGACGTCGTTGATGAGTTTGGCATCAACGCTTAACAGAGGGCGTGTCACAAAACAGACAGGGATTCAAAATCTTATTTCAAATCTTATTTCCTAAACTCTAAAAGTAAGTAAAGTAATTACCATCCTTCACTCTGTATTTTAGATAAAGAGTAAAAACCCTGAAAACGGTAGTTAAGCTGACTAATATTAACTAATAATAATAACTGGAATGCAGCAGAATCACTAGTTAGACTGGTCATGCGAAAAATTGTCCGATGTTAGTCTATGCATCTCTAGTTCTTTATTTGCGAATATACGAGTTGACGTTGTTGATGAGTTCGGCATCAACGCTTAACAGAGAGCATGTCTGAAGTTGAGGCTGATGCAATCTTTATAGCAGCATTAGCCAATGAAATTAGTCAGCAATCGGCTACTGTCTGAGCTGGAGTATTTGCATAAAGCGATCTGATTGGCTGACGCTTCCACTGGCACTTGAAAAGTTGAGAAAGTCCTAACTTCTGCAGCAAGCAACGCCACCAAAGAGCTTAGAGCAGTGGTCACCAAACTTGTTCCCGGAGGGTTGGTGTCCTGCAGATTTGAGCTCCAACCCTAATCAAACACACCTGAACAAGCTAATTAAGGTCTTACTAGGTATAATTGATACATCCAGGCAGGTGTGTTGAGGCAAGATGGAGCTAAATCCTGCAGGGACACCGGCCCTCCAGGACCAGGATTGGTGACCCCTGGCTTAGAATGACCAAGAGGCAACACTCAATAGAACATTCCATTTCAACAGCAGCGCCCAGCAACAGCCCCAAAATCTGCCATTTTGGAGTGAAAGCGATCGGCTGTCTTTTGGATCTTTTTGCTGTTGCGATGCCAAGCAGCTGCTTTGTTTTTTATTTATTTATTTAAAGCTGAGATACAACCTGAAAGATGACAATACAACACTTACTATCACAATCATCAGCACTTTTAATAGTTTATTTCACAGACTTATAATATGCTGTTGTTCTATTGGAGTTTTCATTCCAAAATGTCCGCCACGCCATCTACTGGCTATTTCCCAAATTGAACTAGAGTGTTGCCTCTTGGTGATTCTATGCATTCACACACATACACGTATGCGTGTGTATTGTATACCAGTGGTCCCCAACCCCTGGGCCAATTGGGGATCAATTGGTACCGGGCCACACAAGAAATAATAAATCATTTCTGTTTTATTTATTATCTTTGTCTGAATCTATTATTTTGAAAAATGACTATTCTCTTAGTTATATCTCGTCATTTAAGCGCCAAAATTTATCCCACAAGCTAGCAAAATGAGTAAGAAACAGACGTCTTTGGAAAGTTTCTTTGCGAAGAGGAAAAGGTGCAGTGAAAGACCCACCAACTGCCAAGGAATGGATCCACAACCCATTTGGCAATAAAATCAGGTGAATCCAGCATGTCTGTGCAAGAAGATCAACTGCTGGAGATCGCAAATGACAGCGGCTGTTGCCATTTTGCGTGTTTGTTTGTTTGTTTGTTATTTATATATGTGCAAGTTTGTTATTTCTAATGGAGGTGTGCGGCTTGAGCGTGCATATTGGGAGTGGTGCGACACACTCGCGCCTTCCAGATGCTGACAGTTAAAAACATCTTCAGAATGCTGCGAGTGCATCACAAGTCACTTGACAAGAACTAACTGATCAGATTAATATTTTGTATGGAATAAACATATTTTGGTAGACTAATTATCCCAGACAAACACTGCAGTGCTTTTTAATTTTCTCCATAAATAAAATGTGTATCTGAGTTGCAGCAATGTTTTGTCAGCTTGTCATCCTCTAAGAAAACGGTTGATAGTTGCCCAGCAATCTACGTATACCCACCCCCTCCCCCGGTTCGTGGTAAAATTGTCAAGCATTGACCAGTCCGCAGTGATATATATATATATATATATATATATATATATATATATATATATATATATATATATATATATATATATATATATTATTTTTAGCAGAAAATAATCTGAGACATTAAATTTTGGTGAAAATCATTGCTGGCAGTGGCTAGCAATTTTTTTAAAACACTGCACAACAGACACACACAACATACCCTCTGGAGGTCTTTTCAGAGTTGTCTTCCTGTAAAAGAGCATGTAGGCGCTCTCTTTCCCCTGAAACTGCTTCTCGATGTCCTTCACTGTAATGGCTGTCACAGTGGAGTCATTCAGGTCAAACCAGTGACATTGATCAGGATCTTCATTTTCTCCTGCTGTGGCTGTTTCCGGCTCTGTGTTCTCTGGGCAGCTGTCCGCTGCTGTGGAGTTGACTAGTTCTGGTGGACTGGCTTCTGTTGGTACACCAGCTTTCAGAGCTACACGGGTTCCATTAGAGATCAGCATAAACACTTCAGGGTGGCTCTGGAGAAACTGGAAAATGACAAAACGGTCAAATATGTTTTTTTAGATCGCATTATAGTTGTATTTAATAATAGATCAAATGTACGCCGGTACCATGAACATGAAAACAGGCTATGAACTAGGACATTATTTATTACCATTATATTCATCCATATGTGATACATTGAAATATTTCCTTCTCATTTAATTGTTGCAAATATAAACTATAAAGTAAATATAAAGCCGACAACATCATTGCACATATTAATAAAATTTTAAAAATAAAAAGTAAAATAAACTCATAATCTTGGGGTATATATAACCCCAATCAACTGTTCCTTATTTAAAAAAAGTAGTTTCCTTCATCTTTATCTGATGATAATGATAACTTTTTTTATAATTATCTATTTATATTCACATAAAAAATCTGTACTTGATTCAGTTGTTCTTATATATTATATATATATAATATTATATATAATGTATATAATATATAGCTTAATAAATAATAGCAATTCCTTTGTATATTTAGGAAAGTTGACAACAGCTGTTCTGCATTGATGAAAACAGTTCAACAGCATTTATTTAAAATCCAAATATTTTGAAATATTACTGTCACTTAATCGAATTTAATAATTATTTAAACAAACAAAAAACTTTATTAACCCAATAATTCACCTTTTGAGTGTTAGTGTATTAGTGTCTGTCACTATAGTATAAAAAAAAACATAAGTTCATAAACCCAACCTTGCTGATGGAGCCATACTGTTTTTTATATTTTTTGCTCCATGGCGTGCCGATTTTATTCAGTAGTTTTTGGCCCAGCTGGTCTACAAGCACACATTTTGACTCCTCCTAAAAATAAAAAAGCAACAGACAATCAGTATACAAAATTGATTTGCTCAACATACATTTCAAACCGAATGCATAAATAATTCTGAAATTATGACTGTTCCATAGTATTTTTTCTACTATGTGCAACATTCTTCAAAACGTTGTCGTTTGTGTTCAACAGGAAAAAGGTTTGCAACCACTTGAGGGTAACAAATGTTCATATTTAATAGTATTTCAAACAGACTTACTGAGTCGTGTAACAACATACCTGAGCCAAAATGCCAGTAAGAACAGAAAGTGGATCCTCTGTTTCTAGAGAATTCTCACTCTCAGTCTTTCTTTCCTCAGTTTTGTTCTCTTGCTTCTGAGTCTTAACTTTCATCTTCACATTCTTCTCTTCCTCCTAAGTAAAAAAATCAAAAATTACTTGTATTTTTTTCATATTGAACAAAACATACACTGCAACAAGAAAAAAAAGATGAGAAAACCAACCGGTGCCTCCCAGTGGCCAAGTTGATCAATGTCTTTAATGTAGACATGATAATGACCACCATAACAGCCTCCTTTATGTATGATGACAGAGAAGAGCTCGTAGGAATATTCAGAGTCTGGCCAGTTGCTCTGTTAGAAACACAGCACAGTTCATCTCTGCTCTGAAGTTCATTAAACTTCCTCACAACAACCCTAAAACATTATTAATTTTCAGTGTGCCTGACACAGGTGAGTGGGTTTGACAAACCACATGTAAAAAACACACTTTTTCATCTCTCTGACACTTTAATCAACACTTACACCAGTTTTGCACATTTGCAACAGACACTTTCTTACAATCGCTCCATATCTTAGTAAAAAAAACATTGTGCATTTTTGAAGTGTGCTTCACACAGGTGAGTGGGCTTGACAAACCACATGTAGAGACACTCTCTCTCTCTAAAAAAAAACAACACTCCTCCCCCATAAGTCTACAGCACTTAAATTCTCTGAGCACAAACAGTTGCTTTGTTAGTACTTCTTGCCTTTCGGCAATACACGGACACTGGAACGTTTTAAAGTCACGTCGATCAGCTGGTTTGTCTATAGACACCCCTGGTCTATAAGCTGACATTTGAGTGATCCGCTGATGAATCAAAGCTTTAAAACACTCCAGTGTCCCTGTATCTGTGTTTACACTCAGTAAACAGAGTTCGGTGAACTGATGACCTTCACGGCCAATCACAGTCATTTCTGTTGAGCATGTGAACACAATGGCAATTCAGCACTGTTTAAGAATGTGCTCAATAGCACTTAAATGTTGGTGGGAAATGGACGGTTGCAAAATTTCATTATCAATTGGTACCGATTCCAATATTGTGACAACCCTAGTCTATAAGCAAGAGATTTTTGAAAAATGTATATGCGTGTGAGGTACCTGCTCACAAAATGGTCTGAGGTTGAACGTAAGAGGAAAAACGTAGCTCCCCGTCTCTTTGTAGCGCTCACACTTGGTAAAGTCAAAGTTGAATCTCAACAGAGAAATGGTCAGGAATGGGGGAAGTTTTCTCAGTTTAGCAGACTGCAACAAAAGACATAATGTAAAAATTATTACATTAGACTTGACTGAATGTGTATATGGAATTATACCTTAATTGTATCTTGGCATTACAAAAGTATTAAGCAGCACAACTTTAACTGTCTTAAATAAAATGTTTCATTGTTGCTATATATTTAGCTTTACATTACAGGAATAAACTATAGTTGATGTATAGTTGTTTAAATAAAAATAATGTTGCCTTAGTGAGCATCAAAGACTTACAGAGCTTAATGACACACACACACACACACACACACACACACACACACACACACACACACACACACACACACACACACACACACACACACACACCATCTACTCATCCTTCACTTACACAGAACCTATCTGAGTTTCTTCTATTGAACACAAAATTATTTTTTTTTAAGTTTCAAACCGGTAACCATCAACATCCATGATATATTTTTATACTATTGAGGTCAATGGTTACAATTTTTTTACCTACTATGGTTAGTCAATCTCTCTTCCGTTGAATCCAAAATAATAAATTTTGAAGAAACCAGAAAAAGCGGTATCAATCAATACTATGAAGCTGCAGGACCGGAGACCCAACCACACGCTCAGACCTGCACGCTCAGACGGCTAGACCTGCATTTCCAGACCAATCGTTTTCTCAGACAGTGCCACCTGCTGTTTGAAAGATCGACTAACCTAAATTCAGCTGCTTATAAATTGTAACTTACACTGTTATTGTCTTTGGTAGTCCTGTCAGATAGATAAAACAGTAATACATACTGTAGACCTACATAGCACTAAAATATGTTACAAATGATAATTGCGTTATATATTATACATTTTGTTTTAACATTTTTACTTTAAAGTTTTTATTTTGCCAGAAAACATTGCTAGAAAAGTGTCCCAGAATGGTACAATAATACAGAAAATAAGAGCAAGCTGTAAATATCATAAAATAATTCTATCTTTTGACACTAATTTTGATCATATCAAACACTGAAATGATTGTTTGTTAGTGTAATATTTTACACCACATTAATTTATGCCACAAAACCTGGACATTTTTAGGAATCGCTTTAATGAAACCAATAGCCTTGCGCGTCTAATGTGGCTACTTGATAGAAAGTGCTGGTCTGAGCGTGCAGTTGGGTCTCCGTTCCTGCCGTTTCACCCAACCCAGCAGCAGGTGGCACTGTCTGAGAAAACGATAGGTCTGGAAGTGCAGGTCTGAGCTTGCTGGTCTATGTGTGCGGTTGGGTCTCTGGGCCTGCAGCTTCACCTTACTCATATCAATTCACTTCCATAGTAGAAAATAATACTATGGAAGTCAATAGTTACCTTTTTTTTCTATGATGGTAAGTCAATATTTCTAACTTCCGTTAAATGCTAAATAATACATTTTGAAGAAAGCTGAAAACCGGTAACTATTGACATTCATAGTATTTTTTTTCTACTATGGGAACCAATGGTTACAGGTTTTCAGCTTTCTTCGAAATTACTTTTTAATGGGTTAGACACACACAAAAATGAAAATTCTGTTTTAATTTACTCATCCTTCACTTGTACAAAACCGATTTGAGTTTCTTCTGTTGAACATAAAAGAAATTTTTGAAAAATGTTGGAAACAGGTAACCATTGACATCCATAGTATTTTTTTCCTACTATGGAAGTCAATGGTTACCATTCTTTTCCTACTATGGCCAGTCAATGTTTCTTTCTTCTGTTGAACACAAATGAATTAATTCTGAAGAAGACTGAAAACGGGTAACCATTGACTTCCATAGTATTTTTTTTTCAACTATGGAGATCAATGGTTACAGGTTTTCAGCGTTCTACAAAATAACTTATTTTGTGTTCAACAGAAGAAAGAAAAATCAAATGTTTAAAACAACATGAGGGAGAATAATAAATAAGAGTAAATTATCCTCATTGGGTTGAACTATCCCTTTAAGTCTTTGAATGGTGGTAAACCTCCAACTGCTGACTTGGGGGAGTTTGCACAATTCCTTATTGTATAAGGCCTTAGTGAACAGAACAAACAAGCCTAGAGATGAAAAGAGTTGTACTTTAGAGAGGCGACTGACCTTGGCGGCTCGAACCAGTTGACCACAACCACTGCAGCGGTAGAGGTTATTACCCTCAAACATCTCCTCTTCCACAAACATGTTCCACAGCGCCTCCTCAAGCCCACTTACTCCACTCACTGACACTGTCAGGTCCAGAAAGTCCTCCTGAAATAACAAACACATTAAAATATGATGCATTGTCATCATGGCAAAGATAATATTTATTAGAATGAGTTATTAAAATTATTATGTTCAGAAATGAGTTGGAATAAAAATCTTCTTTCCATTTAACAGAAATTTGGGGGGGAAATATAGAGGGGGCAAATATTTAAGGACGGCTAATAATTCTGACTTCAACTGTATATAGGCTTACAAAAAATAAATAGTAATGGCTAATGTCAACAAGGGCATCACAGTGGCGCAGTGGGTAGCACAATCGCCTCACAGCAAGAAGGTTGCTGGTTAAAGCCTTGGCTGGGTCAGTTCTGTGTGGAGTTTGCATGTTCTCCCTGTGTTCACATAAGTTTCCTCCGGATGCTCCGGTTTACTCCAAAGACATGCTGTATAGGTGAAATGGGTAAGCTTGGCCATAGTGTAAGTGTGTGAATGAGTTTGTATGGATGTTTCCCAGTGACGGGTTAAAGCTGTGCATCTGCGGTGTAAAAAATATGCTGAATAAGTTGGCAGTTCATTCCACTGATTAATAAAGGGACTAATAAAAAAGAAAATCAATGATGTCAACAACTTGTTGTTGATATGTGTGTGGAAAAAGTATCAGCCTTCTAATTATGGTTCAGATACAGATTTATATGTAGATCATTAAAATTCCATGATGAAAATGCGCAAGTATAAGACAGAGTGTCAAGATTTAGAATTTTAATATGTGGCCTTTCTCAACAACAACAAAAAATTATGAATATACACTTTTTTTTTGATACACAATTTTTGTGATGCTATTTTTAAAGTGTTTTTAAAATTGTATAGCTGAGATCAAAATACAGCTCTGTTCTGACCTGTCTCTCGCTAATATAGCTGCACTCCTTGCAGGTAATCTGGTTGACAAGCGTCCCGTGGTACAGCCGGTGTATGAGGCTGCTGCCCGAAGTGTCCACTAAAGAGCTCTCGAGAGCACTGAACAAGATCCGGTTCAGCTCCTGCACATCCTGCTGACCCATTTCCTAAACACAGAAAGATTTATTGGAATTTAAAGAGATAGTTCACCCAAAAATAAACAATTTACTAAACTCGTTACTTGTTTCAAACCTTTATGGGTTTCATTCTTCTGATGAACATTAAAAAAGGTAATTAGGTGGAAAATACATGAAACCTGTAACCACTGACAAATACTATGGAAGTCAATGGTTACAGGTTTTCAGCTTTTTTCGGTATACCTTATTTTTGTGTTCAACAGAAGAAAGACATTGAATAAACTACCCCTTTAAAGGTGATCACACTTGTACTTTAGTTCTCTTGGATTGTTTGATCAAGACCAGAGAAAACAATTATACATTTATTTACCCAAAATGGAGGGTAGAATGTTTTTATTATTATTATTTTTTTTTTTTTTATTGCCATATTAGCACCTTATGGCTTATTTTACGGTCAACGTAAATAAAAAAACATTAGATGATAAGAACAATATAATATTTCAATTAGAGATGATCTACAAACAAATATATAAATAGAAATAAATCAATTAAATTCACGAAAACTGTATATTAAATGATAAATATGAAAAGATAAATATAAATGGAGAGTAGAAGGTGAGAAAATTATTAAAGAATTTTATTTTGGGGTAAGCTATATTGTAAAACATTAGTACCAAAAATGTGGATTTACTCGCAGGAAATTAAATATTGACAAAATGTTAAATTACAATAAAATATTAATAAAACAGAAGTGATTAATTTTATTTCTTTTACAACATATGACTGAAGGGGCATGAAATCTAAATTTTTATTTTCGGGAAAACTACTTTTTTTTTTTCCTTTGTATAACCATGGTATTTGCAGTGATAATGTGGTCATATAAATGGAAATCATGGTTAATTTTTGATAAGTGTTTAAGTACAAGTGAAATCAAAACTAACCACCTCACATTGGCAGTTTTGTGGTTAACAATTCATCTGTGCATGTCATTAACAAATAAAAAAGTTTGCCCTTCTAATCTAAAATTAAAATCTGAAAATGCACTTCCTGTTTGTTTTCAGTTAAATTGTCAGATTATGTGATTTTGAGGTATTGGGCGAGGTTAACATTAAACCACGCCACTCCAACTATCAGTTTTGACAACAAACAGAAATGGTAAGCAGGAGGAGTCTGTTAGGTTGTAAATTAATAACTCCTTAAACCCATTTCCAGATCTTTCAGAATGAAATGCCCACTTAACATCCAATCAGCTCGCAGTAGAAAAACAAGCCACACCCACTGTTTTCTCATTTAATATTTCATTTATCTAGGAACTGCATCACAATATAAAAAAATGCAGCTTTTTAGTTCATGTGGGCTTTAAAAAGCTGTGTGTACAAATAGTGAGGGGTGAAAGAAAAAAAAAAAAACATGTCAGGAAAATGAACAGTTGCTGCTTTGCCTTGAGCATGGTTATTCAGTTTGTCATTTAGGTGCTATTACCTACAGTGACCTTTGCAGCTTAACCCCAGATTACTACAGAGAGCAGCCTCTAAAATGATTTATATTTAGATGAAACGTATATTGCTAAATAAAAAGTAATTACAGATTAAGAAAGTACCTCATTGTTCGTCCAGCCAAAACTGTCCGTCAGGTCTGTGGTGGAGGCAGTTTGCTCGTCCACCAGCAACAGGTGGGAAAACAGTCTCTGAAGCTCCAGAGGAATCACACGGACCTGCGATGACACAAAATGGGTCAAATCTATTCATTCGGGGTCCATTCTTTGTATGTGGATAACTCAATTAGCTGGATTTGGTTATTGACAATTTGACATGATCCAGGGTTGTTACGTTCTTTAAAACTCATCCAAGAATTGTTGTCATAGCAACAGTTCTGGTAGCTCAAACGTGCTAGGGAGCAGGCCTATTTTATATAAACAGGATTAGATCGAGTTATTTCAAACAAAGGTAATACTGAAAATATGTACCAAATATTCTTATAGTAATAATTATATACACTTGGAAAGTGACAGTAAAATAGTATACACACACACACACATATATATATATATATATATATATATATATATATATACACACACACATATATATATATATATATATATATATATATATATATATATATATATACACACACATATATATATATATATATATATATATATATATATATATATATATATATATATATATATATATATATATATATATATATATATATATATTAGGGGTGTCAAAATTAATTGTTTCTTAGGTGCACCGCGATGCAGACGCGGACAATTCGGTATCGATTCAGTAATAATCATAACCGGTTATAATGTACTGACGTCATTTATCTCCTATGCGCTCTGTCGTGAGGGAGGTGAGCGCGAGTATTTACAACACTCAGTCAACTCAGGGCCGGTCCATGGCATAGGCACCATAGGCAAATGCTAAGGGCGCTTTACATCCAGGGGGGCGCCAGAAATGAGCGCGGTTCAGTTGGTTTTGTTTTCGATTTTCCTGACACACATTCAGTTATAGACGGCAATAACTCAAAAACCTCTTACCCTAAAAAGATCTAAAGTGTGTTTTTCTACAGAAAGACAAAGCTGGTTATGTTTCACAGCTGTCTTTCTTTTTTTTTTCGCTCGACATTACGAGCACTACTTCGTTTAAGCCCTCGCAGTCTGCGTTTACTTTAGCCGGCAGAGCTCGGGCTGAGAGGAGCTCTCAGTAAGGGACCGTCGGAAAAGTGCTTATTTTTTTCTTCTTTTTTTTTTTTTTCTCGTTTTTCTGCTTCGCTCAGTGCGAGCTCTCCCTGTTGCAAGGGCTTAAGTGTGTGTGTTTGTGTGTGTGCGCGTTTGTTTGTTTGATGCTGTCTATGTTTGTGAATGTGTTTGTATGAGAGACAGTGTGGTGCTGTGTGTCTGTGTGTTTATACAGACAGCTTGTTATAGCCTCCCCCCTTAAATATAACACTGTATATGGAAAGCATCGTCAATGCACAGTGATGCACCGAGATATCGAATTGAACCGAATCGATGGCATGATAATCGTAACCGAACCGAACCGTGAGACTAGTATAGGTTCACACCTCTAATATATATATAGCTTCTGCACTCTGAAAAGCAAAGACAAAACAGTCATGGGGTGCTTCTCTCAAAGAGGTTCAAGGTGAATGTTTATTAATATAAACTTTTAGATAAAAACGCATAACATTTTAAGGTACCAACCAGCTTTAGTACAATTTGTGTAATAATAAATAAATAATTTGAGGATCGATAGATCTGTCCTTTACAAAACATTTAGCGATCTTAGATCAATACATCCAGACATTTAATCTGATTCACAAACTTGTTTTAAGAACCAAATTAGCCAGAGATCAGTTATCAGGATTAAAAGATCCAGGATCTGCCAAATCATCTTAGATCATTTAAGCGAGGTATGAAGAACGGACCCCTGCTCCATTAAACACTTCCATTTATAAATGTTTATACACACACCTTTGCCTCCGGTTTGTCCTTGTCAGCCAGACATCCTAATTCATCCGGTCCGAGATGGAACAATTCCTCTGTCAGAGATAAATGTATGTTACAGACATTACTTCACCCATCGGTAAAAATACTGTCAGTCCCCTTTGATCAATTTCACTACACGAAAGTGTATGTGACAAATAAAGGCCTCATTTGATTTGGGCTATATATTGCACTTTTACTTGATTTGCTAGCATTGGTGTTTCAAAATTACCATTGCAAACTATTTGGAAAGGAAAAGACGGAAGATTTTTCACATTGGGGTAAAGCTAGTTTTATATTTGCACACTTGTTCATTTTTAAACAGTGACAATTTGTGACATGCTACATTGAATAATAGGTCTGAAATTGCTTGAAAGTGTGACTTCAAAAGGCGAGGCAGTGGAGCAGTAGGTAGTGCTGTCGCCTCACAGCAAGAAGGTCGCTGGGTCGAACCTCGGCTCAGTTGGCATTTCTGTGTGGAGTTTGCATGTTCTCCCTGCCTTCGCGTGGGTTTCCCCCACAGTCCAAAGACATGCAGTATAGGTGAATTTGGTAGGCTAAATTGTCCGTAGTGTATGAGTGTGAGTGTGTGTGTGTGTGTGTGTGTGTGTGTGTGTGTGTGTGTGTGAATGATTCCCAGAGATGGGATGCGGCTGGAAGGGCATCTGCTGCCGAAAAATGTGCTTTATAAGTTGGCGGTTCATTCCGTTGTGGCGACCCCGGATTAATAAAGGGACTAAGCCGACAAGAAAATGAATGAATGAATATGACTTCAAAACAACATAAGCACTATTTAATTGACTGTAAACAATGTTGTACTTTAATAGTCATTGGTTGCTAATATGATTTCTCTATTAGAATTTCCTAAAAAAACTTCTCTGAAATATATTTGGAAGGCGAAAGTCCAAACATGCGAATATAAAACCAACTTTACCTCAATATTCTTCACGAGTAAAATGATTAAATAATGACAGAATGTAAAATGTGGGGTGAACACTCTCTTAAACAGCATTGAAACATCTACTGAGTTTTACCCCTGAACTCGGGTGTGAAGAGCAGCGTCTGGATGAGTGAGTTGAGGTAACAGGTGCCGCCCTGATTCTTGATCCCGCAGAGTTTGATTTTCCCTCTCGGTGGAGGAGGCTCGCACTCTCTTCCCTTCACACCTGAACCAGGTGCAGAAGAAAAACCATCCCCGTCCTCTTCAAAAAGATCTCCAAACATGACCGCAGCTGTTTCGTAAAGCTCAGGATTGGCAAATCTCCTGTTTTCTGGTCTGAACCGAGTTTCGATTACTGCGAAAGGAAAGCGTTTCACCTCTTGCTATCTCATCTTGGTCTTCCCCAGCTCTCGATTAACGATCAATGGGCTCACTCTTGCATATGACGACTTCACAGGAATAAACATCGCTTTTTGAAAACAACCGAGAAACTAGATGCTCCTTTTTGCTCCGTTTAAGCTTCGTGAGGTTCCTCCAAATAAATCACAGGTGTCGTGAATAAATCTCAGTCCTTAAAGCGGAAAACAGAAATCTGAGAGGAGATGCAGTGCTTCCATGTTTCACCATTGAGGTTTAAAACAACAGCTTTATTTTCGTTGACAGCCGCGGTATTGGTGTCGTTGTATTAGACCGTCAACGTATGTATTAGGCAATATTTTAAACGCGAATCTCTCGTTCGAAAAATTAAATTTCTTTGATTTCAAATAATGAAAACTGAAATCTGAGTAGAAAACCATTTGTGTTTTTAGGACGCAGCCATGTTTGCTTGATGACATGTCCGGTCACAATGCATTGTGGTATTAGTAGTTTGTTATTACGACCGTCCTCATTTTCCCGTATTTGTTCTTTCTTGGGTCAAAGGGTTTTGGAGTTTTAAGATTAGATATGTAAAATAGATCTATGTGGTTAACACAGACTGTTCAGTCGTAATTTTATAGACCAAATTTGGTTTTATTATTGTAAAATATTAAAAGTTGGTTACCATTTGTATAATCAGGTACAAGTAGCCTGTCAAAAGCAAAACCTGTTTACTGTAGTTAAATGAATTTTATTAAATTTATTAACTATAAATAACATGTAGTTAAACCAAAGGTAATATGGAAATATATATATATATATATATATATATATATATATATATATATATATATATATATATATATATATATATATATATATATATAGGTAATATGGAAATATATAGGCTATATATAATTTACTTATTAATTTCAAAAGCATACAGTTAGGACACAAAATAGAGTCGAAATATGGGGCTGTTCCAGAAAGAAAATAGACACCTGGTCACCAATTACCATAGACCTTTTTTTTAAGTTGATATACAATTTCCTGAAAGTTTTTAGATGCTTTCTATAAGTGATATTTGGAAATGTTTGAAAATCTGGACTCTGAGGGTTAAAAAACACCTATTTATTTGTCCAAATTTAGTAGGCCTAGTTACAGTATAAGCTACTAATCAAAATTAAGTTTGGACATATTTACAGAAAACAAATGACCAAATATTTTAATGGAACATAATCTTTACTTCTTATTCTAAAGATTATTGGAATAAAAGAAAATCCATACAATTCTAGGTCTTTTACCAGTGGAGTTAAAAACTACAATTCCCATAATTCCACGCTCCTCAGCGTCATCAAGCTACGCTTTTGTTTTTGTTTAGTATGTGCGCCCTCTAGTGGTAAAACGTTATTATTAGCACTTCTTGTGGTTACTTTGCAAAATACACAAATTTAAATATACAATCTAAAAATATGTCACAATGCAAAAATGTGTTGATATTTCAGGAAGATGTTTCTTTAAATAAATTGGTGTAGCCTATATCTGTTATGTGCTACAACTGTGGAGAATATACATCAGCATTGCTTTGTTGCATGTAAACATTTATGTTTAGTTTTTAAACAAAACCTGCCCTTAATGAGACTTAATGAGAAGATTTAGTTCACAAACAGTAACAATAATTACAATATTGATATTAATTGACAATAATAAATCCTAAAATTTGGCATTAATAACTTACATTTCAAGCTATCAGCTGTAGGCACTAATTCAGAGGATCTCCTGTTTTTTTTTTTTTTGTTTTTTTTTTTGATCATTTTTATTAATTTCAGGGAATTGTTTATGAAATACACCTGAGTAAAAAAAAACACTTATTTTTCGAATTTAGCTAAGTTTTTTAAAATTGTGCTTAAGTAATGAAGTAAAAAATAATGATTAACTGTCCACACTCAAACAAATCTGTCCCTCCACCATTCAAAACATGTAATGTAAAACACAATCATGTATTGACAAAGTAAAATCGATTTATTGTAGTGCAAAGAACAAGAGGTAATATACAAATATTATACATATAAATAACATTATTACTTTATTTTACATATTTGGTTTAATCTGTAATTAATAAACATTGTATGGCGCTTTTTCCATAAAGGTTTTTACTCTATTCATGGTTTTTGTAAATTAAAGTTGCACAGAGCCTAGATGTTGCTGGACATCTAATGTTCAAAGATATTCATTGAAACCGAGATTCACAAAGTTTCCACTGAATATTTTTACGTAGATTGAGGTAGTTTTTAGAAAGTATATCAAACTCCAGATTCTGCCAGTTTGATTGACTTCGATGTGATTAAAAAGAGTTGGTCAAATTGTCGGTGGTTCAAAGGAGTCTAGAGTCAATGAATCAGTTCTGTTAACCTCTCTGGTTTATGATGGGAACATACAAAAGCTTAACAATGTTTGTGTCCTCAGTGGATCCTGAGCTTGAAGACTTTGGAAAGAGGAGCTTTGGCGCTAGAGTACATCAGATATGAACCTTCCGCGGAGGTGAAGAACTCCCAGTCGCTGCATCCGATGGTTGGTAACCGATGAACAGGGACAAAACCCTCATAGCCCTGCCATCTGTAGTTCATAACAACAAGAATCAAAATCTTCAATTTCACTGGGACGCCAACCTGATTTCACCAAGTAGGACATGTTCCTGTATTAACATCTATGTTGATCCTGAAACATCCTTTCAATCAGCCAATCAGAATTAAGGGATGTTTACTGTTTATATTAAGTCAAAAAAGGGGACTTTGGTTAAGTGTAAGCTTACGGTTAGGTTTATGCACTTCTACTAGAGTGTTATTTAACTATTATTCCCCTCTGATTTTGGGAGTAATTTACAGTTATGGTTGGTTTTAGGGGTCGGGAATAGGTATGGATTACATTTTCCAACAAAAATGATGTTCCAGGATTAACGTAGATGCTAATGCAGGATCGCATCGAACTTTGCAAAATCATGAAGTGCTTCTGTGTGATTTTCTTTACAGTTTACACTGCTGTATTAATAATCTTGACACAGATCTTAAAGCATTTTAAAAACTATTGAACTACTGGATATTTGACTATTGGAACTCTTGGAACTACTGGAAACATTCATGTTTAATTATTGTTAAACTGCTGTAAAATGCCTCAGTTAAATATTTTATTTATGTTTTTTTTTTGTATAAATCAGTTAATCCAGTCTGATCTCATGAGAAAATGTAAGTATTTTGCGTTTTGCCAGTTTATTGGCTAATTCGTACGTATTCGTATAAGTTCAGTCGTACGAAATTGTACGATTTTAAAAAGGAGGCGTGGCACCTAACCCCACCCCTAAACCCAACTGTCATTGGGGGATGAGCAAATCGTACTAAATTGTACGAATTAGATCGTACGAAATCACACGAATTAGCCACTAAATCAAAAAGTTACGAATTGCTGTGAGATTGTGTTGGTTAATCAACCTCAGTCCTGATCAAAACTACTAAATTGTTTAGAAAATTACAAGATTTTAACTCTTTAATTGCCAAATTCATAAATGATGTCACTGATTTGATGAAGAAACATACAAAATGACATATTTTTTATATAAAAAGTGTATTTGTTATGTTTTCATCCCAAACATAACAAAAGGGAAGTAAATTTGTCCAGAGTGTATTGTTTAGTTTTTAAAAAATTCAAAGCATTTTCTCAAAATATGTGTGCAAATAAAATTTGTCACCAAAAATCATTTTGCTAGCTGAAACACAGAAAAAGATTTACAAACAATTGAGGTAGAATAAATAGAGTAAATAAACCTTTAATATATGGCCTAATGTAATGTTTTGGCTAATCGTTGTAGGCAATGCAGAACAATGAAATCGTGACATGTATTTTTCAGTAATTACCTGTATATGACACTGTTCAAAGAGTAAGACGATCCATCATACGAGTTGGCTACGACTAAGAAATGTTCGTCTCCAACAGTAAAGAATTCCCAGTCCACCGCACTGCCAAATCAGAGGAAATCAAGTCAAAGCATGTGACTTATGATCGTCTCCCAACCCCAAAAGCACATTTGATTCAGGCTTTACCTGTATGTTACAATGTCTTGGAACTTGAGGAACATCTTGGTTGTCATATCAAGTTCATATATAGTTGAGTTGATGGTGTAGAGGCTCGGTCCTTTCTCGCACAGCATATGACCATTGGCAACTGCTAGGAAAACTCGGTTTCCGATCTGAAACATTTCCCAGTCTGTAGCTCCGAATGTCTGAAATTAACAGACATACATTGACATAAATAGATTGATTGGTGTGGTTTTCTAAAGCACTTATTCCACCATGGTTTTTATTGTTGTCCCTCAAATAAGTTTAAAAAAAGGTATGTGTAATCAAGAGGATTGTAACCTTTAAAATGAACGTATTTGTTTCTAGGGCTGGTCAATATGCCAAAAATCCAAGTTCATGATATAAATATTATCTATTAATCTATTAATATGATATGATATATAACTCATCTCGTATCCTGATAACAGTATTTATCATGATAGTACATTTTCTGTAAATTCAATCAATTAATAGTTTATATACATATTCTGTTATTCACCTTTCTGTTTGCATCCCCGTAATGGCGTGTAATATTGCACTCATAAAAATGGTGAAAGACTTTTACCATAAACAATGTATTTTTGACACCATGAAAAAGCTACAGAGCATAGTATGTAATTAGAGACTGTTTATTTTGTCTGTATATTATATATCATCATATTGTACAGTCCCAATCTCAGATGCAGAAAAACTAATTCATGGTTTTATGACTTCTAGGCCGGATTACTGTAATGGTCTGTTTGTCGGTTGCCCAGCATCCTCTATTAATAAATTTCAGTTTTTGCAAAATGCACCTGCCAGAGTTCTTACCAGGTAAAAAAAAAATATGAACATATCACCCCAATTTTATCATCCTGACACTGGCTGCCTGTTAAGTTCCGTATTGATTATTAAATTTTGCTTCTTACCTATAAAGCTTAAAAACAATCTAGCTCCTGTTTATCTAACCAACCTTCTGTCTTGCAATCCAACCCGCTCTTTAAGATCTGAAAACTCTTATAGTCTGGTACCCAGAATAACAAAGTCCACTATAGGAGGTTGAGCCTTCTAATATATGGCTCCTGAACTCTGGAATAGCCTTCCTGATAATGTCCAAGGCACCGACACACTCTCTCAGTACAAAACAAGATTAAAGACCCTTTCTTTTTAGTAAAGCATTATCTTTGCTTTGCATCACATAAATGTATGATGCATGAGTGTGCTCCTTGCAGGTGAGTGGGCTTGACAAACCACCTGTTGGACCCACTCTTCCTGTCCTAATATGCCAGGCATTTTGTTAGAAATGCTATGTTTCAGTATGTTTGTTTCTATGTGTTTATAGAACTCCTATTTTCATTTTTAGCACTTCATATGCAAATTCACAGAAAGCGAAGTAAAAAATTTTT